CCCTTTTGCTAGCGAGGAAACCAGAGGCTCATGGAAAGAGGTCAGATGCCTGCCTGAAGCACCAGGCCTCAGGCGCCTCTTGAGGCACCCACAGAACATGCCTGGGGCCTTCGCTGGGAATTAAAGGATCATTGTCTAACACTCCCCAAATCTAGTCCAAAGGCATTCAAGAGAACTCTCCAAGGTTTTCATCATTTTTCAGTAAAAGGACAAGAACACTAAGAGGTGGTACTTGTCCTGCAAGAGCAGTAAAGAAGAAAATAAACATTTTGGAGAGGGAGTATTTCAACTTTCTATAGGAAGGAAGAGTTAGACAAAGTTGTGAGCCCTGGGGCCAGAGCCAGGGCCGGGCGATTCCCCAGTTAGTCCTGCAAACATTGAGTGTTGGTAGCAACCTCTTACCTTTCCAAAGCCAAAGCTGTAGATATTTTGGGCAGAAATGACTCCAGCTTTAAGCAGTCGGTTAGGAGAGCCATTAGGGCTTCTAGAAATATTTAAAAGAGGAGGAGAAAAGTAAGGATTAACTACCCATATCTAGAGGAACAACGCTGAACCAAGCGGTCAGAATGCATAGTTGGTTTTGTCTTTACTACTTGACAGCGGAAGTCAGCCTCTGAGAGGGCCACAGTGATTCCCATTTCCTGGTATTCATGCCCTTGTGTAGCCACACACAGGCCAGAGAGGGCTGGCCTGTTAACCTAATGGAATACTGCAGAAATGACGGAGTGCTGTGAGTTCCAAGGCCAGACCCCCGGGACTTCTGCCCTGATCTCTCTCGCAGCACTTGCTCCAGAGGAGGCCAGTTGCCATGTTGTGAGGACACTCCAGCAGCCTAATGGCGAGGCCCAACACCCAGCACCAATTTGCTAGCCATGCAAGTGAACCACCTTGGAACTGAATCCTCCAGTCCCAGATGACTGCAGCCCAAGCTGCATCTTGACCACATCTTCATAAGAAACCCTGAGCCAGAGCCACCCAACTCAGCCATTCCTATTGGTCCTATTGGTCAGGGTGTAGCCGTTCCTGACCTACAGAAATTATGTGACATACAAATATTTATTGTTGTTTGAAGCCACTAAGTTTGGGATTAGTACAACAGATAACGAATAGAGAAGGTCAAAGTTGGAAAGAATCATAAAGCATACCTTGTCCAACTTTCTCATTTTACAGATGGGAAAAATGGAGCCAGAAAGGGGAAACCTGCTGGCCTGAGGTCACAAAACAGCAGCAGGGACTAGGCTTTGGCCCTTTTAGAAGGAACTTGGTCTGCCAAGATCCTAACGCTGGCAGGAGAGGAGGTGTGAGAGATGGAAGAGCTGAACCAAGCACGGGCTCCAAGGCCAGATGGGGGATTTGGGAGTTTAACCTGATAGCCATGGGGAAGACCCTAAAAGGGTTTTTAGCAGTGAGTGGCACATTCGATTTTCATTTTTAAAAGGTCATTCTGGATGCTGAGTAAAGAACCAAGATGGACAAGAGTGGCACCAAGAAGAGCAGTTAGGAGTAACTGGTCCTCGAGGGACTCGTTAACTCATCTTGCATGACAAGCATCCAGGTCATGAGAGGAAAACCAGGATTCAGTGTGCACAGAATGGGATGCAGGAGCCTGTGAAGAGTGCGACAAGTCTACTCACCCTGATCACAGAAAAAGATGCTGTCAGAGAAAATCAAAATGGAAAGAATTTTCACATATAAATCCTAAGTCTATAAAGTCCAGGGAACTTAAAATAACTCTCCTGAGCATGAAGAGAAGCCTGGATGGAGCTCACCTCCTGCAGCTGTGATGGGGACAAGGGGAGGCTGCCCACCCAGGTGGCAGCAAGTCTTACACCAGCTTAAAACAGCCCAAGGAACCTTAAGCATTTGTGTCTTTTGCAACCTTAGGATATAAAGGATGCATGTTCCAATAAAGGAACACGTTTTCCATGGTTCCGAGATGACAAAAAAAAAAAGCCAGCTGCTCTGCTGAGAAAGTGTTTTCTGCTGGGCAGCCCAGGCCTGAAAAGTTCCTTTCTTCCCTGCTAACCATGAGGTGGTTCCCATAGGAGCCCAGAACTCATTTCCCCCAGATGCTCCTGGAAGCGGGGGGACAACTGAAGGTTTTCATGGCCATATCCTCTCCCTCCAAGCTCACCCCTTTGGGTAGGCCAGTTGCTGGAAGGGACCAATGTAGAGGGGACCGAGGGCTCCCACAAGGAAGGCAGGGGTGATGCAGAACATCCCAGTCTGCTTGAGGCAGCACTCACCCCTGCATGAGGCCCCCAAACCGGGGCAGGCCACAGATGAGCCGCTGAGGGGAGTCAACCTTCTTCAGGAGGTCATAGGAGAAGCCCTGGATGATGGCCTGCATGTGCGCGGCACAGCGCTGCATGAACTCCACCATCTGCAACACACGGCAGAGACAGTCAATGGCCACTCTGGCCTTCAGTGGGATTGGAATGGTCTGAGGGGAGTGCTCTGAGGAGACAGAAGCCCCCGACAGGGAAATCTCTGGAAAGGGAAGGGCCCAAGTGATTTCCTAAAGATATGGAATGAGATGATTCCATTTTCAGGGAGCTCATTTGGCAATAATTACCTCCAAATCCTTCATTCAACAGATGAGGAAACTGAGGCAGGAGTATTTTAACTTTTGCCCAAGGCCCAATAGCTATTGAGGAGAACCAGAGGGAAGGGACTCTGCCCATCTCCCCCTTCCCTCCATGTGCCCTTTACATTTGTTAGATTATTTAGCCCTCATTAAAACACATTATGCCTGCCAGCGAGTGCCTACAGACAAGTTACTTAATGTTAATGCACTTCAGTTTCCCCATATGTAAAATGGGGGCAATAACAGTACCTACCTGAGAGGGTTGTTGTAAAGATTAAATGAGTATTTAATTTAATTCAGAACGCCTGATGCACGATAAGTGTTAGTTAAGGGTCAGACGAAATTACAGTTGTTCTCCCTCCCCACTGAATGGAGGACCAGAAAAGTTCACTAGACTTGCCCAAGGTTTACAGTTGGTTAACTTGCTTCAACCCAGGCCTGTGTGTCCAATGTCAATGGCAAGGCCACTACAAGTCCTGTGCTGTCCCCAGGACCAGCCTCTGCCCCTGGGCACCTGACTCCCAGCCCTGTGCTCTGCCTTGGGTGTGCCTGCAGAGCGGGCCCACACTTACTGCGGTGCCGCGTTCCTTCTCTGCTGCCAGAGCCCAGGTCTGCGGGTTCTGACCCTTCTCATCATGGAGTCGAAGATCACCCCCTGCATCCAGCAGTTTGCTGAGGATCCACTGATTGCCTGAAAATGCTGCTGCATGGATAGGAGTGCTCCCATCAAAGCAGCGGCTGGAGGTGGGGGAGGGGTACAATGAGTGTCCATGGCAACACTCTTCCCCTTCCGTGGGTAACACAGGGCTCCTTTTCTACAAAGGCAACCTTTGGTGATGAGAACTGTAACAACACCATTTGTGAGGCCTAACAACACCTATCTGGGGCCTCACAGAAGCTTTATATACATCCCCCTTTTCCACGTTTACCTCCACCCTTCAAGGCAGTATTATTTCTCAATTTATAGATGAGGAAATGAAAGGGCAAAGCCAAGATTCACACCCAGGTGTGGGTCTGGTTCGAAATCCAGTGTTCTTTCCCCACAGCCCCCTGATACTGGCTGCCCTGAAACAATTTCTTCACGTCTGTAGCGCCCTGTGGTCAGGCTGGTGAAGCACAGCCTAACCAGAGACCATCTCATGTGAGCATGTCTCTACCTCCCAAGTCCTATGGTAGAGGCCCACAAACCTTGGCATCAGCAATCTGGTCAAGGATCTACAACTCAGAAAAATTTAACCAAAACCAATAAACTATCTGAGACACGAAGGGACAGCCTTTGTGAGATGTAAAGATGTGATGTGTAGCTGTGGTTTCCTAACCTGGTTGCACAGAGCTTGCTTGCTCTTTTTTTTTTTTTTTGGCTGCACCCAGCAGCACGCGGGATCTTAGTTCCTTGACCAGAGATCAAACCCCCGCACCCGCTGCAGTTGGGAGTGTGGAGTCTTAACCACTGGACCACCAGGGAAGTCCCAGAGCTTTGCTCTCTTTAACTTAAAAAGAAACACAAATGGGAGGAGGAAGCAGACAGGGAAGGAGAAGAAGAAATAAAATGAACAAGGAGGAGGAAAAGGAGGAGATAATAAGGGTAAGAAGAAAGTCTCCCAATTCCAGACCCACACGCAGTTCTCTTGCCGAGAGGCAGCTACTGTTACAGGTTTTTGTATCCTTCCAGAGATTTTCTATGCATATACAAGTAGGAATAAGAATATGCTATATTAGGAATTCCCTGGCAGTCCAGTGCTTAGAACTCAGCACTTTCACTGCTGAGGGCCTGAGTTCAATCCCTGGTCCGGGAACTAAGATCACACAAGCCGCATGGTGTGGCCAAAAGAAAAAGAACGTGCTATATTAACTGTTATGCTTTTACATTTTTTCATTTAATATTATATCTTGGAGGGAATTCCCTGGTGGCGCAGTGGTTAAGAATCCGCCTGCCAATGCAGGGGACACGGGTTCAAGCCCTGGTCCAGGAAGATCCCACATGCTGTGGAGCAACTAGGCCCATGCGCCACAACTACTGAGCCTGCGCTCTAGAGCCCACAAGCCACAACTACTGAGCCCACATGCCACAACTACTGAAGCCCGTGCGCCTACAGCCCGTGCTCTGCAACAAGAGAAGCCACAGCAATGAGAAGCCCAAGCACCGCAACAAAGAACAGCCCCTGCTCGCCGCAACTAGAGAAAGCCCACGTGCAGCAATGAAGACCCAACGCGGCCATAAATAAATAAATAAATAAAATTTTTAAAGTATATGTTGGAGAATTTTCCATATAAGAACATACAAGTCACCTCAATTCTTTTTTAACAGTTGCATAGTATTCCAATGTACAGATTTACCATAATTTACTTAATAAGTCATTGGGATATTTGTCAAAAATACAGATTCTCAGACTACACAGCAGACTGAATCATAACCTGCAAGCATAGAGCCCAGGAATGTGTACTTTTTACAAGTTCCCCAGCTGACGCCAATGAGGCTGGCCTATCTGGGAACTGCTGGGATATCTCATTGTGAGCTCTCCCTTATTGCTGGGTCTGATGAGCAGTCCAGCACACAGCACTATGGGAAATGTAATATCCTCCTTGCTTTACTTTTTTTTTAATTTTCATTTTATTTTTATTTTTTTGCGGTATGCGGGCCTCTCACTGTTGTGGCCTCTCCTGTTGCGGAGCACAGGCTCCGGACGCGCAGGCTCAGCGGCCATGGCTCACGGGCCCAGCCGCTCTGCGGCATGTGGGATCTTCCCGGACCGGGGCACGAACCCGTGACCCCTGCATCGGCAGGCGGACTCTCAACCACTGCGCCACCAGGGAAGCCCCCTCCTTGCTTTAAAAATAAATTTGTATAATGTTTTACAGCCTTCTAATCATTCTTCCCATAAGTAGTAAGAGAGCTGGGTAAGGAGAGAGAAGATATTATTTGTCATTTCTTGTGAATGCTAAGGAAGAAAGAAATAATGTTTTTTATACCCAACTAACCCTTACAAGGGAATCCAGGTCCAACTGATATCAAAATGTGTATTGTTTTATTAATTTATCCTAGAGGTTGAAAACTGGAGGCCCACAGATTGATTTGGCAACCCAGAGGCATGTTTTATTTGGTCCACATAGTGTTTATAAAAAGAATTTAAAGTAATGGACAATACTTAATTAACACTTTGGGGATTTCACAATAAAAACTGGGATTTCCAGCCTCTTGGAAATTTGGAAGATTTGGCCTCCATGGCTTCCTTTTCTGCCCAGCTGCAACAGATGCTCCTTAAACAGAGCCTGTACCCACTGACCCCACTTAGTCCTGCAGGCATCTGACTCCATGACCTCAATAAGCCCAGGCCATCACAGCATTTCCATTGAGCACTTAGGAATACAACTTGCCCCCAGAAATTTCCCTTGCCTTGATGGAACATGTTTTTAAAGTACATGAAAGCATTCCTATCACAAAATAAAAAGATACAGGGTCTGCCTTCTTCCTCTTGATACCGTCCTTTCCCACCTCCCCGTGGCATCATGGGGATTTCTAAAAAGGGAACTTCTTCAGGTGCTGGGCTCCTGGTCTCAAACCCTATCATTAACACAATGCCCCATTATGGAACATGGGTATCAGCCCTCTAATCTGGAATATTAAAGGTTTGAATGATTTCTTCTTTAAAGAACCGAGCTCTAAACTTCCACAAAACAGATGCAAATGCAGATGACTAGAAAATGCTGCATTTTTGCTGAGGAACTGCAGTGCTAATATGGCCTCTCTACAAAGCTGTTATCTGCAAACATCAAGTGAGATAGCCCTTTATTTCTGAGTTTTGATATTAAACACTGATACAGTAGAGACAAATATGCAAATATTTGCAAATATGCAAATATGCAAGTCCAGAAAAATTCTGGAAGGAAACAAAGCAAAATGTGCACTGTGTTATGTCTGGGTTTCAGAATTCTCATGCTGATTGGTTTTTTTCTTTATACTTCTCCAAGCTTCCAAGGTTTTTCCCACTAAGCAAACAATCTTATAACAACATACAAGCTTTCAACATCAATACTTAAAAAAAAAAAAAAATTAAGCGGCCTCCTTCTGTAAGATGGGAAAGCTATTTTATGACTTATGATTGTGTTTATTCTTGCATTCCTGTGAAAATCAGCTGGAATCATATAAACGCTCAAAATCTGTTTCTGGTTCTGTCCAATGGGAACTGTAAAAATAGCTGCTGTTCCCTGTCGAAGAGTTGGTTGTAAAGCTCTAGTGAGCTAGTGCCTGGGAAGGCCCTGGAAAAAGCAAAAGTCCTACACAAGGAGAAGAAATGTTCACTTGTCGTTGATTCATTTTACATTGTGTTGCTGTTCCATATTAAAATTTGGACTCAGATTCTTTTAAACCACAACTACAAAAGTCATCCTGACAAAGTGATGCCAAATATATTAATTGGTGAAGAACTTGGTTTTGGGGTATGTTAAAGTGCTTAAGCAAATCATACAAACTACAAAGCACGGTGGAAATACATAAACAGTACTTGTTAATGACTAAATGAATAGAAAGGTTCACTTATTTCACAGGGTTTAGTAAAACTGCTTAGAAAACTCCTTATTTACAGTTAAAAGCATGTTTCTGGTAATTTCCTGGTGGTCCAACGGTTAGGCCTCTGTGTCCACTGCTGGGGGCCCAGGTTCCATCCCTGGTTGGGGAACTAAGACACTGCAAGTTGCACAACCAAAAAAGTGAAATAAACAAAAGCATGATTCAACGTTAGGTAATACAAACATATTTCATTGGCATAAATTAGTGAAGGTTCTTTTTAAATCTTACCAAATTAGTTTCCAAATACCTCAATTCATTTTAAAAACTTATTTTCTAGGTTGTGACATCATTGTACTTACTGATTTGGATCTGATCCATAATCCACCAGGACATCAACTAATTTTGTAAGGCCTAATAATGCTGCAATAAAAAGCGCTGTCTGGCCCAGGGAGTTAACTGCATCAACATACACGCCTGCAAAGAAAACACCAAGATCAACACAAACACACAACTAAAATTAAGCTTTAGTTTTTACAGTATTTTCAATGTATTACTAATGCAATTTCTTTTTTTTTAAGAAAAAGGAAAACCTTTACTAGTCCGAATAACACAGATCTCAAATCAAAAGTAAACCACCATCTTTACCTTAAAGTTCTATATACAGGAAAACGTTGCTAAAACATTTCACCACACGCTGCTACGCGGAAAAAGAAAAGCAAATTAAAACTGCTCTTCGACTTAAAATTCACCAGCAGCCAACAATTTATATCATATACACTGCGTGGAAAACAACCCACCAAAAAAGGTCAACGTCACTACTCCAACCATTTGCTGAAAACAAATGAAAAGAACAAACCACAACACTACAACCTCCCTACAGACACTGCATAAGTAAAAAAAGAACAAAAAAAAAACAACCCCCCACTCTCATTTATAACCACTTCAAAAAACAACTCATTCCTGACTAATCCACCACTACAAACCCCATAACGTTTAGCAGGAACCCCAAAACACAAGAAACAATAAACCTCCCTAAGTAGCTGATAAGTACTCTCACGCCGCTCAAAACATCAATAAATAAAATCTATTCATAGCACATTATTTAAACCGAAACCACTCAGACTGCGTTCATCTCCCTCTTACTCTTCAAAAACGAAGAGAAGAACGATCATCAACGGCTAAAGGCAGCTGCAAACACAACACCAAGAGCCAACTTTCACGCTCAGGAGAGAACGCTCTATCTCTTCCTCGTGGGTTCGGGTGCTCTACACGTTCAGAGAAACTTCTCTAGTAACGAACTATAGAAATGATCCCTGAAAGTATAGTCTTAACCCAAGCTTCTCTGCTTTTCCGAGGTGGAGGAAATGCACACATATTTTACTGATGGTTACTTTTTCTTACACCACTATTCTTTTTGAAATGTACACTGGAATATGTTGTCTGAAGAATCTTTCCACTACCGAAGCCCGACAAAGCATTTTGAACCCTTCTACGTTTCAGAAGACATTTCAAGTTGTCAATTTAATTAACATACGTTTTTTAAACAGCCAATCACATGCCAGTTATTTCCAACCCCGCCCCGTTTCGCGCAGCAGTTCCGCAGCATCAGGATTACGTAAAACGCTGACGACTACAACGTGCGCCGCAGCTTGAGGATTCTCCTCCTTTTAGCCTGGCGTTGGAAGTGAGATGTCTCACGAGAAAAACTTATAAGACAAAGTGGATGCTGAAAGCAAAGACCCGAAGCCAAAAACCTACGACGTTTGCAAAGCGCACCATTTATGCTGTGATCAAAATAGCAAACATATAAATATTATTTGGATTTTTTTCCAAACCAAGGAATATTTATGTAGATAAAAATTGTTTTTAAGCAGTATAATACATCATTACCCTGCTTAAAGCTTTAGTAGCTTCCCAACTCTTGGGCTAAAGATAGAACTTCTCTAAATAGTTTACAGGGACTTCCCTGGGGTCCAGTGGTTAAGACTCCGCTTCCACCGCAGCGGGAGCCGGTTTCATCCCTGGTCAGGGAACTAGGATCCCTCATGCTACAAGGCAAGGCCAGAAAAGAAATACTTTACAAGGTCCAGCACAGCCTGGCCCACAAGCACCTCTCCAGCCTTATTTTGCACCAAATTCCCTCCCCCTCACTTCAGCCATAATGAACCACGTACTGTTTTCCACATACTCATCGTGTTCATGTGCACAAGCTGTTCTCTCTGCCAGGAACGTTAGAAACGGTGGATATTTCACCTAACTCTGGAATATTCAATAAACCAGTACAACATGGTGCCTGGCTTGAAATAGTGGGAAGAAAGTTAAACTTCCCATAAAGCTTGAAAAAAACTGAAAAATGAGAAAACATTCAGTGCTGGAGAAGAGGTGGGAAAACACACTCCTAAATGCAGTTGGCAGTGTGAACTGTTACAATGCTTTTGGAAAGCAATGCGGCAGTATCTATTAAAAACCTGAACCAGAAATCCTGCTTTGAATATTAAAAACCCATTATGTAAAGATTCATTACAAAGTATTTTATCAAAGCATTGTTTCTGGTTATACAAAACTGCAAAAAAAGAAATAAATCTTAATATCCACCATTAGAGGCACAGCTGAATAAATTATGGTACATACAGATAATAAAATATTAAGCAGTTAATTTAAATGAATTAGATCTGTATCAATTAGAATAGAGATAGACAAGATGTACTATTGAAAGCAAAAATCTAATAAGCAGGCAGGCAACTTTAGGGAGTTCAATCAATGAGTGGTATTAGCTAAAATGATGGATTTAAAGCATCTAACAGAGTTTAGCAAGTAACAACTACTCTATAAATATTAAAAATTAAAATCCCAACATTCTTGTAACCACTAATAGGATTTAAGCTTAAAAAATAATCTATTTTGTGCAAGTAATACAGGTGCTTTCAGGAAT